CTAGATATAAAATAATAATTTCCTATAAATATTTGGCAATAATACAAACCGTTAGTCGCAATATATATAAAATGTATTGACAACAAACAAGCCAAGAGCCTTATAGTGGCGTAGTAATAACTAACGAGAAAACAGTTCAAGTTGACAAGCTCCTAAATAGACTGCTGTTAATCCTGGATTAAGTTTCGCGTGAAAATGGCGCAACCCGCTCTCAGCTTCTGTACCGTCAGCGCGATAATCCGACAATTCCTGTTTTGCCTGGTAATTGAGTAACGTAGCACTCCTAAAATAGTGATGCTATTTAAAGATAAAGAAGACGTATTGTACACGAACATCATAGTTGTTTTCTTCTTCGCTTAATGGATTTTATCATGGAATCAAACGCGCCTCTTCCAACTTAGATCCTACCAATGAACGAAAGATAGAAGACAAAAGAACTGGTATTTTTAATTTGAAAAAGTGTGCCAAGAGATGGCAACAGAGATACAATGCAACATTTGCGCACTAGTGAAGGGTCGCCGAGGGGAATCGTTATTCTTACTGTTGCATTTAATAGAAGAGCTACATGTTACACGAAATATTTCACAGAGAGAATGAATATTTTTTTAAAAATAATTCTTCTTTTTGTAATTCTAATTTTTTTACAAATATAACTTGTTGACAAGTTGTTTTATTGTTGAAAAGTGAATTTTACTAAATATTTTTCTTATAAAAATTACTTCAAATTTTTTTTTCATTTTTTCTTTAAAATTTAAATATCAGCTTTTAAAGAAAAAGTGAAAAAAAATTATGCGTTGATTTTGTCCGAGAGTATAGATAAGAAATATATCTAATTTTAAATATTTATTGAATTATTTATTGAAGGATTAATGTATCACAGAGTCTTTCATTATGTTAAATATTTATATTTACGATTCGATTATTCTACTGCGCGATTTTAATCTAATTACATTTAAATAACAGAAAAATAGATAAAGAATCGCGAATAATTTGCCCCATTGTTTTTAAAAATTTTAAAATTCTAGCCATATCTTTCTCTCATATCCTGAGAAAACAAACCAAAAAAAGCTAATTTTCTTCGATAGACTTTTTCTAGCACGCCGCATAATAGCGTCGTAATTACAGTGATCCGATCGATTGCAATGATATCCAAGAATCCTAGATCGAGTAAATTCCGCATCGTCGTAACACGCGATCGTTAATTTCGTCCGACGTTCTCTCTCTCCCAAGCGAGAGGAATTGCATAACGAATTTATGGGTAACGAAAGGGCCCTCGGTAACGAGGGAACAAACGACTCCTTGTCCACGGAGACAAGTCGCGGTACGAAACAACCGTTACAGCGATTTAGGTGTCGAAAGTCGAACGTCGTTTCCTCGACGACGGTCAGAGACAGCGGCGATTCATATCGGCCGGCGGCGGTGGTCGCAACACAAGAAATCCTTGAACCACGCGCCGCCGTGAGTCTGCCTCTAATCACTGTTTATGACGTTTCTAAATGCCGCGTGACCAATGAGACGTGTGTCGTGACCTCTCGTGCGACACACGTCCGTGGAATTACAATCTGCACCGTCGATCGAACTGGCTCGCGTACGTTCGCGCTTGATTTAATGCATTCGTCGCGCAATCCGAGTTAAATGCTGCTAAATGATCCTGGCGGATAACGAGTAGATCAGTCTCGATTAAATTGTAAGGAGTCTCTAAAATTTTTACGACGAGCGACGCGTATTTCTTATAAATTTATGTAGGAAATTTTGAGCGTTATAAACAAGTTCATAAGTAAGCTCGAAAATATTTCAGTCCTCGATCAGTTTAAACGAACGATAATCTACATCATAAAGTGCGCGTAAGCTTGAATTGATGCAATAAATTATAATATTATATATAATAATTCAATATATGTATTCGGAAAAATATGTAAGCATAAAATTCTTTTTTTCTGTTATTATATAAAGTTTCTTCTGATATTTAATCGCAAAATAATGTACGACGTCATTGTGCGTGTGTGTACGACATGTATGTGTGTATGACATCAGCCATAAATAAGCATTATGCGACCAATTTATCCCGACATTAATCACATAAAGATACGCAAACCAGTTCAATAAAATTATCGAACGAGTATACTTTCATTGTGCACGTCGTGGATCCAAGTGCTTAGCGACTGATTCGTTCGAGAATTCGAACGAGCGGTGATTCCGACGATTCGACATCAATGTGCGAGCTGACGACAATGTCGACGATTAAGAATTATGTGAATCGTGTCCCCCGTTAATATTCGGGCACCGCCCTGTGGAACAGATGGTAATTTATGCCGGGAACGGAAATTTATAAGCGAGACGTCGCCTCGCGTACGATACAATTAGCTCTCGACGGGGGAGGGTTTCGAAACAGGATAAAGTAAAAGAATCAACTTTGTTCCATAGCTACTCATCAGCTCCGAAGAACACAAAGATGATCGTCTCGTTTAACTGATTCGCATAAATCGGCGAATTTCGGCGGGAGATACTTTAGTATCCCTCAATAGTGAGAATTATAATTATGATTTGATTTGAGCTAATCAAATTTTTGTAATGTAAAAATGTATATATTTTAAACTCTCACCGATTATCGACTGCTAAAATAAAATAGATACAATGCTATAATATTTGTATAATTTTAATTAAATTATTATTTCATCATTCATTCATTAATTCTAAATTATTTCTCTCTCACAATCGGATATTCTGATGTACTTTTTAACTTCGTCAAAATATTTATTTTTTAATCGTTATAAATAGCGATATTTATTTTTATTCGCGTTGCTTCTAATTTTGGCCTTTATGCGCAACATAAGTTTTCATTGCTCTCTGTATTATCAGCGCGGCGAAATTTATGAGAGGGATATCCATGATACACATGGTACAACTGATTACACGCGGCTATCATAAATCAGTCGAGTTATTATTTTACGATGAACGCAATTTTGTTGCGATCATTGGTAGTAAATTGTTACCAGCGACGCGCGACCCTCGAGAGACTCGGAATGTTAATGTTTGCATAATTATGATAACTTGCGCCGTGATTCCATGTTGTTTTTCATCCTCGCGAGTTATTTGCGTTTTATGATGATTGACGCATAAAAAACATATAACACAAACCGAGATTGAGAAGCTGTCATTACTGCAGTATTCATGCAACACCTGTTACCGTCAAAGAGTAATAGTAAATCAATTTTATTTATTACTTCCCCTTTGTTCTGCAATTTTCTGGATATTATCTACTATGCCTAAAATATAATAATTATCACTTAATAACTAACACTCAGCGATCTCCAATTTTTGTTTAATATAAAGAAGAATTGACAGTTCTCAGTGATAAAAAAAGTGTCTCGAAAAAATAAATGAACGAGTTAAATGTTGTTATTCAATTACGCGAAATATATTATGTAAACTATAAATATGTAGACGTGTAGTATTTATTATTCTCTTTTTATTTATTATTCTCTTTTCATTTCTAATTTTTCTCATCAACGAATTCTCAAGAGAGATTTAAGCTTTCTCCGAAGCATGCCTTGATGACGATTCATTCGAGGCGCGCCTGATTGATTTCATAAATCTCTCGGAATGACCTACGAGGACCCCCTCCGTAAGGCATAGTCGCAAGGGGCCTTTTAATGCCTCGCGTTCGCGTCCCTTACGTAAGATTAGGCTGCATAAAATTAGGATAAGACTGGAATGCATTCATCTCGATGCTAAGCCTCCCTTTGTTGTACGATATATAACACATTATGTGCGCAGGATGTTCGATCAAATTAATTTTCAATATATGATAGGCTCTTTGACGATTTTGTTTTCCATACAAAAAATTTTAATTGCATCATTTTATGCAATTTTTTAACATTGCAACATTTTTATATAAAAAGATTTCAAATTAAAAGAATTAATAATTTTATATATCAATTTTTAATATTTAATTTATAATATCAATTTATAAAATTAGATAGAAAAATAAAGTTTTTTTTATCATTTATGTCTTTGAAATTTAATTCATGAAATATCTTTTATTTTCATTTACAATAATTAAAAAATCTGTTATTTGAATTTAATCTGATAAGAAATGTCTAATTTTACTATATATTTGATGTATTTTTTTAATTATACGTTTCTTGATACATTTTATTATTTGAAATAATATATAACTTTCCATTTAAATGAGGTATACTTTAACGTAAGTTGAATAATACTTTGATCTTAAATGCTTAAACGTGATCTTGTAAAAATTATCCTTTAAATTTCTATAATTAATTATGATCGAAAATCTTGCTTATTTTTTTAATTTACTAATAATTACGCGTGTTTACGCGACGCATTAGTATACTTCTCGCGTCTTATCCGTAGGAATAAATCGCTTTTATCCCGCTTAAGATCTTTCGTTTGAGATGCATGCGGCCAATAGCCAAGGTTTTTTTATAAGCACCATGTAAATTCGATCCACGATCCGCTTTATCTTAATTTCAGGTAGCGAATCATCACGTCTTTGGCTATCTCCATCATTTTCCGGGTCACTTACCTACGTCGTTTCTTAATAGAACGAGCTATCTCGAAGGATAACATAACAAGATATGTAGTCGACAGTAAACTTGAACACTAATGCGAGCGAATTGACACGAGTAAATCTAACACAGTCGACTTGATTAAAGTCCTCTTTCTCTCCATTTCCAACGCTTTGATGTAAAATTTCCATCGATAATTAATCATTCTATTATATACTGAGCCACCTTACGTAACACGTCACTATACGTTCTTTCTCTTCATACAATAAAAGCTAAAAGACGAAACGTGAATAATGTATTACAAGAGAATAATATATATTGGAAAATAATATATATAATAAAAAATAGAATTGAAGAATATAATTTAATTTTATAAATACGTTCACACACATTCTTAATTTTCTCAAAAATGTATTTTAATAAATTCGCATCCTATGTGTGTTAATTAGCCCGCTTATTTTATTATAGCATGTGATTGCCACCCGATCGGAGCTTCTGGAAAGACCTGTAACCAGAGCAGCGGCCAGTGTCCTTGTAAAGACGGTGTAACCGGTATTACTTGCAACAGATGCGCCAGGGGCTACCAGCAGAGCAGATCGCATATTGCGCCTTGCATCAGTAAGTACACGCCTACGCGCGCATTCACCATGCTTGATACCCGGGTTTCATTGCCGCATTTATCTTTTATTTCGATTTCGTTTCCGCCGGCGCTCGTTGCTCCCCTCGAGCCACAAGCTCGTTTTATGCGAGCTGCAAAGAACGTCGGCACAACGAGAAAGATGATACTTAGAAATAGAGAATACAAGGAATTCTGTATATCTCGAGGTAAGAGATGAGGATATGCGAGTAAATTTAGATGAATTTTGAGAAATTATTTAAAGAGAACGGAAGTCTTAGGCGGAAGGAGATTTCTTATTACTTCTTCGAAATCATTCTTAAATTTTCTTACAATTTTTTAGAAATAATGACTTGAAGTCGACTTGGAAGATTCAAGATTTATTGATAAATTATACGAAGAAAATAGAATGGAAAAAACATTACAGATTTCCCTGTCAATTCGACATATCTTGTTATCATCGTTACATTCGCGTAAAAAGTTGTTTGGCCAGAAAGAGAACGCCAAAAGTCGATTTCGCGATTGATCCTTTCAACCTGCTACCAGGGTGGCAAGAAGAAATCGACTGAAAAAAGACACTGGAACCGTTCGACCACACCCGTGCTGCCCTCAAGAATGATCGATCGATCGCGAGGAACACGTAGCGATCTCGGCGCGCGATCTCCTCGCGCTTGTCCAATTAGGCGAAATTTGCGAAAACGTGTATACGAAAGCACCGAACCGTAGTCCATCCTCCGTTTCCATCGTAGCGAGCGGTTTTCACTTCGAGTTTTAATCAGGAGTGAAGTTTTCGTGAGAGAAATTACGTGATTGCTTGTCTCTGAATGTATCGCGGCTTCATAAATTTTATGACACGTAAAAAAGAGCTAATGTGATAATAAATGTGAGACGAAGAAAAATTCAACCGAAAAAAATGCCCGAAAAAAAACCGACACCGTCATATTTTGTATTTAATTCTCTAAAATTTCACGATATGTACAAAAATAACGATTGAAATAAGGTAACACAAAAACAGAATGGAGAATATACTTTCTGTTTTAAATTTTATTTTTTACGTGTAAAAAAGACTTGAAAGTTGACAGTTTCGTTGGCTTGCTTTAATTTTACGTAGTCGAAAGAATGAAAGGTACAATTTCTCTGCAAGAAGTAATTGTCGAACGAAATTCTTTTAACACGAACACCTGCGAAAATAATTCAGCCTTTTATCCAGACTTTTGCACATTCTTTATTTATCTCGTATTCTTACAGAGATACCCAGGGTCGTGCAGACGCAGGGCACGGCTGGCGAAGAGAGCGGCGAACACGAGGACGATGATGACGAGCGCGGATACGACGGACGAACCGGTAAGTAAGTGCAAAGTAAATTCAAAGGTGCGTATACACTGAGCAAATGAACAAGCGAACAGCGAATCTTCAGACATTCGTATTCGTGTTCGTTTCCGTTCGTTTATTGACATTCGCATTTGACTAGATTAGGCTAGATTAGGTCTGCGAGTTCAATTAATCTGATTGCGTAAAATGGGACACGGATCACCATATGTTTCGTCTTAAGTATTAATTATATTTAACTAGATTGCATATGTAGAATTATAAAAAAAGCATTCTTTCACAGAAGCATTTTTCCGAAATAAATTTTTCTTTTAATTTTTATGAAACATGATTTCTAAGTAATAGATAATTTTGTCTTTCAAAAAGCAGTACTAAAGAATGTATTGAGAATTTTAACGTCTACTTCCGCTTTTCTTCCAAACTTTAATAATTGTTCATTGTTTATTCGTTCAATGTATATGCACTTTTAATGCACGATAATATCTTTTTCGTTTGCGTCAACTATCCTTCGACCGAACTACTTAACATTCCGAGCATTACGCTACGACGCCGCGTCGAAGTCTCCGTTGCTGACACACTGGGTGACGTAAAAATTACTGGCGAATGGAACGGAGATAGGATGAGGAAAAAAGAGAGGAGAGGAACAACATCTCGAGCTTCGAGAGACAAGCAATGTTAGCATAGGTCGGTATTCTGATGTCACGTATTCAGCACTAAATGTCCCCGTCTGATTCTGAGTTACATTTGTCTTGTACGAAGATTCAACATGGACGCGAGACGAGAGTTAAACAGCTGCATACATTTAGTACTTAGAGTTTAAGTGCGAGATGAGTATGAACGTAATGATCTTCCAAGTAATGTCGCAATATCGCAAGGTCTTTTCATTATAAGGGGGTATTATCAAAATATTGAAGAAAATAAATGTTATATCGAGATAATCGATTAAATCATACTTAAAACTTTAAAATATAAAAACATAAAAAGTATAAAAAAACTTAAAAAAAATTTCATATGCGGGAAACATTTGGAAATTAATTTGCACGAATTTCTCGAGATAAATATGAAAAAAAAAGAATTTATATCATGTGCGATATCTGTCATGTAATCGAAAAAATTATTATGAATAATTAATGATTCGCGAACTTGTTATATTTTAAAATTCTTCTGTTAATAACACTTTTCAAATATAATACTCTTTCTCGGCACGTTAACATTTTATCATTTCATTTTCACGACATTACGAGGTAAATATTTTTAAGAAAAAAGAGTAGATAGAGAATTTACAATATTTTTCCGATATTTTATCCTATAGACTATAGTGTCTATTTGGGAGGAAATTTTTAATCGGTAAAGAAATTTTATTATAAGATAAACGAGTGATTATAATTTTGTAAATATCGAGTAATAAATTAATAGAATTATAAATTACTAACCTCATGATTGCTTTGTCGATGATTCTCATCGTCCGATGCTTCTCCAGATCTTTTCTTCTTGTTTTCTTTATCCTTTGCTGCTTCTTCATAGCACTTACTCGCGAAAACAAGCTTAATTACGATAACGTATGCACTAATCAGTAAAATATGATAATTACGACACTTTGTAGAACACTCCCGACATTAATCGCACACGACGTGCACTGTATTTTATTGCGACGAAAAAATTACGTTATAGAATTACTATACGTTCAACACTGAAAAATGCCGCTAAATTTATACGATGTATATTATCTTTAGGAATAATATACGCATACATTTTACGTATTATTTAAAACGCGATAATCGCAGAAATTGATTAATCGTGTAGATAATTGTAAAGTATCTGAAAAGAATAATTGGGTTTGATATCTATTAGTACTCGTCGCAATCGTACTTTTTCGCAAGATAATATGCGATGATAACGTTTTACATCGTTTCACTATGAGCGTCACCGCGCGAATAAGACGAAGGTGATAGAGTATAAACAGTACGCTTCGGCGTACCGCCGAATTCTTGTGACGTCATATAACGTCGTATTATTGACATATGTTTCGTTGCGTAGTGAGAGGTCGCTCACTCGCGATCCGAGCGCGAAGGACTTTATGTCATTATCTATCGAACTGTGATCGCGACATGTACTAGAAGATAAAAACGCAATCATTTTCTACAATTATTAATAATTAACGATTATCGATTCTCGCAATAATAAAATTACTGCAAAATGCGTGCGTATATTATTAATTAGTATCAAAAATAATATTCGAGCGCATGATTTTTCAATATTGAACGGATCATAAAGTACGTGACGTGATTTCGCGTTTTCTCGACACGATATAAAATAAAGTGCACGTCGATGCGATTAATACCGGGAGTGCTCTATAAAAATTTTGTGCGAGTCTCTCTGTAATATTCTGGTAATTAGTGCGCGATGGTAATTAACCGTGTTCTCGCGAGTGAGTGTCATCTATAAAAGAGCAGCAAAGGACAAACAAGAGAGAAAACTCGAGGAAACATCGGGCAGCCATCGGAGAAATCATGCGGTGAGTAATTTGTAATTTTTGTTGATATATTTATTCTTAATTATTTATGAAATTAATTTTTTGCTTGTCTTTATGGTAAACTTTCTTATGGTAAATATCAGTGTGTATACACGTATACACCACAGATATTAGTGCATAAAAATGCGTGAGTTTGCAATAATACAGCAATCAAACTTTTTATCTGATTTCTTAAAAATTATATAAGAGATATACAAGATATCCCCAAATTAGCGAAACAAGATACATCGCTTGTCGCGTATATAATTTAACGATCACGCGAAATTATTTCCGCAAATTTAAGCCGGAAGTTAGGCTGGAAGGAAGTCGATGTGGATACGAGCTTCATAGTAAAATGGAATGCGCGTGTTATATTAATTTAGCAGACAGAGCAGACAGCAGACACAGAACCGGGTGAGAGAGTAGGATGGAGAAGAAGGGTCGGTACACGTCTAGTCAGCTCGGTCGCAGCCTCTCAGTCACTCTTAATGGCTTGATTAAAACCACCCTCGCTTGCGGTTCGTCCGTTTATTCCGCATTTTCATTCGCGTACACGACGTACGATTTTCATGGTAACCGCGTGAGTAAATCTTTTTCTTGAGATGTGTCTCGATGCGTCTTGATAAACACGCTCGCGATATTTAATTAGATACGAAACTTGTATAAAACCTGCAAAGCACAAACTTTATATTGAAATTCATTAATATTGATGCGCATAAAATGTTGTAGAATCTAAATACTTTGGAGGGAGGGGGTTGAATATCGTTAATGCATTATATAGTTACTGTCTTGAAGTTTTAACGAGAAAACTTAATCTTCTAATTTAGTGTTGTCCCTGACAGGAATACCGTCTGAAAGACATTGTAATATCTTTCGATCTTATGTAGAAAAATGGTTTCTTTCTCCGCTTAAAACTGGTTCAATTTGCATGCAAATTGGTTTCTTATATCACTGTGATTACAGCTTTGGGATTAAAATGTGGAATTTGAAATAGTAGATCCAATATAATGACTAAAATATAAAAAAAAATTACTCATATATATTATAATATAATGTAATTAATTTAATTAATAGTTTCCTAAAATTAGTTATTCTAAAATTATTCACCCGAATATTATGATTGCCGCAAATACCGATCATAAGTGTCGTGATCATATGTATCATATATATCATATGTGTCATAACATGAAAATCAGGGTAAACAGGTTTTCAGCCAACAATGCGACATTGTTATAATGATAGATAAGATACTTTCAATTTGTAAAACCACATTGACAATGCATCTCGCGTTTGCGACAGATCAAGAATTTTTTTAGCCGAGAAACTAGCGCGTGTAAAGCGAAAGAGGTTCTCGTAATTGTCGTTTCTCTCATTGTATCGAATGCATGCGTTTCTACCCACATTCATGCTCCATATGCAGGACATAGATTACGGACGTTCCTTGCATTTCTAACATGAAGTATCGACGCGCCCAAGAGGGATATCGCGATTGAGTTCAACATAGAGATAGATTCACCTCGCGGATACTGCGATGCTAATTGTTAGATATTACAATCGTTATGAAAATAATAATTTCTGCACAATCAATTTGTGTCCACATCTTTAGATTAGAAAATAAAAAAAAGATATATGTATTTATATTTATTTATAATATATATAAGAAGAAAATTTTCTCTATTCCGTCTCATATCAAATACATAAATATTCAAATTAAACTAAAACATACATGTATAAATTTTAAAAATTATAATCCGCGAGAAACTTATCATTTGTTTTCAACTCCTTATAATTCAGATGATGCACGTGCTCGCTTTTCGTTAGTCATTTAGACATTTTGCGTAGTCGAAACTTTCGCGAGTTAACTAGTTTACATATCAAGGCGAAATTATCGCGGGCGAGTCCGACTGTGCTCGCTCGCGTTTTTCACTATCGCGACGGTCGCGTTCGTGCTTCTTTACGAGACGCATAGAGAAATTTCGCCGCCTACGCGGCGCGCATAATTCGCGCGCGTAGATTACATAGCGACCACCACCTACTCTGTTCGCGCCGGAGTGAAATATTGACGTGCGGGAAGGAGAGTAGTATCGTAATCGAATTTACACCTGGTGAGTGTCGCGTCGTGCGGCGCTGTCGCCGTAAATTCTTGCGAGGAAACTGCCGCGGGTACGGCCCGCGTAAATTATCCGTCGTAATAGGCCTCCTGGAAATACTCCTCTCGCAGCCTATCGTTCTCCTCCACCCGCAGAATCGCGATCTCGGCTTTCTCATTTCGATAATGTCACGAATCAACGTAAATCTTATACCGAATGTTCCGAAAAAAGGCGTTTATACGTTAATTTGTGATTCATACATTCTCTTTGAATTATTTCAGTCTTCAAATTAACTTCAAGGATGTGGAGGTATTTTAATTTTCGTAGAAAAAAATTTTAAAAATATCGTGAAGTCTCGAATTAAATTATTGCTCGACTTTGATCGAGTATTCTCGAGGGTTAAGGGAACATTC